CTCGAGAGCTTAACCCTCGTTCTGCAGCGTCGCGACTGGGTAAAACCCCCTGCTCATGGACATGGAAGGGAAAAGGACCGCGAAAGAAGAAAAAAGGCATTGGCAAACTGACTGAGACACACCTCCCACCCACCCAACCACCCACAAAACACCTTTTTTGCAGAATTTCCCAGTAAGCAACAAGAAGGCTTTTTGAGGATAAATGGGGAGGATTGGAATATTTGAGAAGAGTGGAAACTGGATGAAAAAGACGAAGAAGAAGGCGATGGAGAGAAAGTGAAGGGTCAGAATATTTTATAAACGTAGTTTGACTAGGATTCAAGTAATACGCCAGTTTGTATAAGGGGTGGGGGTCTTAAAGGGATGGAAATGTTCGAAATTATTTTGGTATAAGAAAGTATGAAATCGAGAAATGTAAAACCTGTAATAGAAAAGATTTTTCCTAGATTTTAGCTTTGAAACAATTTTTCTCGGGCCCTGTTAAAGATATCAAAAAGTTATCAATTGATTCTTCCGAGAACATATACTAAAATTGGAACAATACAGAGAAGATTAGCATGGCCCCTGATAAAGCTGATGCCACTGACGCTCAAGCTGATTTCGCTGCCGTCACTCCTGCTAGAACTGTCACCATGTCGGCTACAGCTTAACTCGGATTGAAATTATCTGAATTTGTTCAAAATAGTTTCACATCAAGATTGAATAAATAATAAATTGTTCATCATAATATCTAATTGTAAAGTGTTTTGTCAGTATTGATATCTTGCATAGGAGCCAAGAAAAGTTAGCTAGAACCTATTAGCGGGTACCTATGTAATGTTCCAGACCAGATAATATTTGAAACTTTGGCTCAAAAATTTTTCATTTTTCCGCATTTTTCTTGTATTGTTTTTTCACTCGATGATTTCTCCAAGAACAAAAAACCTTGGTTTGGCCTGTTTTAGTTATAAGAATCTTCATACAATAGTTTTTCACGGTTCACAAAATAGCTAAACCAAAGTTTTCATTTTGGATGTGGACATATTTTTGAGAATATCTAGCTACCTTGAAAAATTTGAAAATATGAAATTAAATAGAAATACTGGAAAATCGGGAATTCGGAAAATCAGAAAGTTTACAAATACTGAAAACTAGAAATCGAGAAGTTCAGAAAAAGGAAGTTTCATGAATCTCGAAAAAAACAAAACAGGATGAAAATTCCGGACATTTCGAAAATTCAAAATTCAAAAAAAAACCTTGAAATTTGAATGTCCAGGACAGAACCTTCAAAATTTGAGTCAAGGACTAAGATTAGAAGAAAATGTTGTTTTCTTTTCCGATTTTTTTCCTTCCAGTTTCCAAAATTATATCGTAGCATTGGCGAGGTTTCTTTCCCCAGTGATCTGTTCGAGACAACCAGAAACGCTTTGGAACCTCTAATAGAAGGGCACCCACATTTCCAACTTCGGTCTAATTTATCAGGACTCCTGTCCAATATATCAGTGGCCAACTGACAAAATATCCATCATAATATTTTTTTAACATTTTGCCAGTTCTCTTTTATCAAAACCGCTGAAAAAATTAACAATTTTGAAAGTGCAGGAACCTTCTATTAGACATTTTACAGAAATGAAATTTGGACTAAATTTTTTATCAAACTACCGTATGCCTCAAACCATCATTTCTGGTTTACCATCTCGAAAACAAAAACAAATATAGAGTTTTTCAAATCTACTTAAAATTGAAACTTTTCACTTCACTTCACTACTAGTACCTTCTTCCAAAACAAACAGAAAAACGGAAGGAAAGAAGGTGGAAGAAGTTAAAAGAATGAGCAAAAGAAGAAGTGAGCAATTTCAAACGACTGAATGACTAAGAGAATATTCGAATATTTATCGAGAGAAAACGGGTTTGAAGTATTATTCTGGTTGCCGAAGGTCCCACAACGACAACTACAGTAACCTAAAGTATTTTCATTTTCAGGGTTCATTTTCTCGTTTTTCACTGTTTCTCGTCGAGTTTTCTGTTAGTTATCGCGAAAAAAATCTGAAAATTAAAACTTTTCCTAGAGAAATTACTCAAAAAATAAAATATGTTTCGGTTAAATACTGTAGTTGTCGTTGTGGGACCTTCGGCCACGGTCACAGCTAAGATTTTTTCGGACCCGAATTATAGTGTGACGAAAACGAAAAAAAAAATACTAGAAAAACTAGGAAACTAGAAAAAAAAAGAAAAGAATTTCAATGTCAGTAATTTTTTCATTTACAGTTTCAACCGCTTATCTAGGCGGGAACTCTTGAGAAAAAGTAGTTAAAAGTCAATCAATCAAATGTGTGATTTTCGTGTCGTTTCGACAAGGAAAACGATGATGGGACGAAGGAAAAGAGCGAGAAGTGGAAGAAGAGAAAGAGAAAGAGAGTGCACCTGAAATATGAGTAACTCGGAAGAAGATGCTGCAAATCACCACACGTCGTTGTGATAATGTGTCGTCAGAGCTGTCGCAAGAGTCCCCACTCTTAATATTATTATTGTTACAACATGAATAATAAACCAATTTCTTCTTTGTTATCTTTTTTATTCAACTGAAACTTCTCCTTTACTTATTAGGAGTTTTTTTATAGTTTAAAGAGATCAACCATGGCTACAACATTCATTGAGTGAAACGAGAATCAGGATGCCTTTAATGTGTTCAGATGGGATGCTATGGGATGCAGTCAGAATAAAATGCTAGTATTCTGGGAAATTAAAAACAGAAACTATTGCAGAAATTAAAGGGGGACTCCGACCAAAATTTTTTATTGCATTAAAATGTGTTAAAAGTTATCTATTTCCCGAATATTATTGCGAAAAAATTCAAAAAAAATCCGAAATTCCCAAAAAACGCCGTTGAAAAGGAAGAAAATTCAAAAAAGGTGCCGCCGGGGGACGAGGATTTTCAGTGAGAAACCTAGGCCACGGCAGCGGGCGCCTTTCCTATGTGGCAAATTTTCCGGATTTTTTTCAATTTCATGTCCGGCAGGTAAAAAGCGTAAAAAACCACTGTCGGCGACTTAAAAAAAAGGCTGTCAGCTGCCGTGGCCTAGGTTTCTCACTGAAAATCCTCGTCCCCTGGCGGCACCTTTTTTTGAATTTTCTTCCTTTTCAACGCCGTTTTTCGGGGATTTCGGATTTTCTTTGAATTTTTTCGCAATAATATTTGAAAAGTATATAAATTTTAACACATTTTAATGCAATAAAAATTTTTGGTCGGAGTCCCCCTTTAAAAAAAACACCTCTTATTTGCAGAATCAGTCTAAACATTCATGTGTTGAACTGCGCTTACAAACACTCAGGTGATAGTTTTTTTGAATTCCGGCAGTCTAAAACAGTTTGGTTAAAACTATGGGATTATATAAAACAATAGGAATCATGGTGCATAGAAATTATATTTAAGAAGTATGGTAACCATTCACTCTGGAAAAATGGAGTATTCTCTGATTGCATGCAACTAGTTGAACATCTCGTTCAGTTTTTCTGCCTCCGCGAGCTTCGACTTCCAGAAGATTTTATTGGCCTCTCCCGGAATTTTGTTGATCATCTGTGAAATTAGGTGATTAGGGCAATGAAATTCGTCTCGCTCTCGGAACTAACCGCTTCCATTGCCAAAACCTCCACTTTGAACGCAACACGATTTTTTTGCGAAGCAGCATCAGTGACGTCTTTGATGAATGATGACGCCATTTCCTTGATGATTGGGTTAATGTTTTCATCAGCACCAGTATCGTTGGAGAGCCCAGCTGAAATTACAACTTTTTGATATATCTTTCATCTCTCTGATCGGAAGTGGATGCTGTAATGTTATGTATTTGATTTTCGATTGAAATCGTTTTCTTTATTCATAGAATAGAAATGTCTTAATTTCGATGTCAATGATCTCAGTTATCTTTAAAACAAAAGATTGACTGCCCAGAATTATATAAGTTATCAGCCTGTTTGCCGCGCCTCCGGCGCTTCAAACAGCTGGATAGTGCACCTTCGGCGCGATCGAACCTATTTATTGCACTGTTCGTCGCTCCGCTCCTCATTTCTTGATTTCTCTTTCCAAATGAATGAAGATGAACTTCATTTTTTGATTCCCACGTTTTTGAGCTTTTGAATCTCCGTTTCTAGCTAGATTTTCTGAATTTCCGGTATTTCTATTCGGAAACTCAAAAACTCTCAAACTTCCATATTTAGATGTCTACTTTTAAATACGAAAATTCATAAGTTTTGTAATTGTGAAAAGTTTTCGAAATTCTGAACATCAAAATTTCAGAATTAAAAACATTCAAGAATTCAATTTCCAACTGAATTCATTTTAAAAACTTGGAGATTCAGTCTTGAAACTTTTGAATATTGAAAATTGAAGAGTTTTGGAACAGCCACATTTTTAATTAACTAATCTCCACATCTCCAATTGTCTAACTTTTACAATTTTTGAATTTAATTATTTCAGACTTTTCTTACTTTCAAATTTCTGAATATGTTTCTTTCTGAATTTATACTTTGAAAAAATAAGCGCTGGAAAAAGGACTAAAACTCGAGTATTGTAAAATCAGAAACTCAGAAATTCAGAGAATGGACATTCAAAAATTCTAAAGTTCTTAAGCAAGGCTATCGGAAACAGGGTCGGCCACGACTGGCCGTGATTGAAGCCGTCGGTATGTTACCGTGGACCAATCAGTCCGTTCTGTCGAAAATAAGCTCAGCCAGCCAAAAACTATCAGGGCCCCTAGGCCACCGATCCTACCTATTTCAGAAGTACCTAAACTAAAAATGCCTCGGCCCAAATTCGACAGCCTTGTTCTTAAGTACTACATTTCGGTAATCAGAATCATGGAAGTTTGATAAGTTTGGTGATCAGAAGGCTCCTGGAAGTTTCAGAGCCCGACATTTCCGAACCACGACGTTTCAGAACTTGACATGTCAGAACCCTAAAGTTCAGTACCCTACGTTTCAGAACCCGATGTTTCAGAACTTTTCTACATTTTTGTATAGTGTATAGTATACATTTTTGTATACACCAAATGAGTATTGCTTCATGCAGTTTCTTTTTCTTCTGTTTTTCTATTCGTTCTCATTTACCGTACTCCAAATAATGATAGGTTCACACTCGGAAACTCTCAAAAAATCAAGAAAAGAAAATTTCGAAAACGGTGTCTAGAAGTACGCAAAAAAATTATCCGGCGAATGTGGTTTCTTTTTTGGATACTTTTAGTAATGACATCGTTTTTGAAAATTTCTCTTTTTCGATTTTTGAGAGCTTTCGAGTGTTAGCCTATCATTATTTGGAGTACGGTAGATGAGAGCAAATAAAAAAGTAGAAAAACAAAAAATTGAAAGGAGCAATACTAATTTGATGTGCAAAAACCACCATGCAAAAATGCAGAAAAATCCTGAAACATCGGGTTTTGTCGCTTACACTAATAGTAAATTTTAGAAACATATTTTCCCTTTTACCAACTATTTTCAGCTTTGTCCCTAGTTATGTGACTTTCGGCCCTTATCAAAAAAAGTTATGCGTTTTCTCTCCAGAAAAAAAAACTTAAAATGTTATGATTTTTTAAATCAAACTTTCTTCCAGGTTTTTTAGTGACTCCAAACAATAACGAAAACAAAAGATTTGAAGTTTAATCAACTTTTAACTCGACTTGAAACTAATGAAACTCGAGAAACAGGATACTCTGTTTTACCATTTCATTCAAGATGAGAAACATTTTCAGAAAATCATTCGCATACATCCTCACTCATTTCTGAACCGTGTTCATAATTCAAAAAAAAATCTTCCTGCCTGGCTCGAACTCTCAACGCGCAATACCGGCTTTTTCGCCCCACTTCCTACCTCCCGTTCCCTATAACCACACCCTTTTCTGTGGTGAAAGGAATTCGCTTCGTTAGCTGCCTCCTTGGGCACCATTAGTTCAGAATGACAACCGAAGTGGCGAAGGCGCGGTATATGATGAAATACAGCAGCCGACAGAAAGCGGGCCCGCGTCAACCACTATGCTTTGCATTGGCGTGCAGTGGCGGCCACACCAAACTCTCAATTCGAGGTAGAACCTCTACGCCCTCCCTCCTCTCTCTCTCTATGTGCCCTTCGTGGACACAGGTCCTGGGCGATGATGCGCATAAAGGACCCGATCCATATGCGATCCTCTAGAAGTCCGTTTGACACATATCGCGAACAACGAGCTGCGATGAGTCTCATATGTGTGCGATGCGGAAGAATCGAGTGTTCCGAATGCGCGCGTATCCTAGATGGATTCTAGGTGGGTGGGCGATGTGTGCGATATGGGTCTGATACGGTAGGCCGACTACAACACTCCGAAATCCCTGATGCGCGCATTGTTTAACGTAAATCCACACCGGCAACTTTGTCAATTTTTCGTCAATTCGAGCCTACATTTCTGGTTTTTCGATTATTCTTTCGATGTTTTTTGTGAAAAAGAGTTATGGCAGACTAAAAAATCGCTGAATTCTTGCAGAAACATGTCTTTCACTCGTCAATTGCTATGTTTTTCGCCAAAATAGGTGATATTGAGATTTTTAGATTTCACTTTGTAATTATTGTAAAAATCGTATTTTCAGGTGGAGTAAAAGGTAAGTTGGTAAGTATACAATAATTCAGGGCTGTCCAAAAGGCCGGCCTCGGCCGGCCGAAGGCCTCGCGCAATTTTGTGCGGCCGAGGCCGTCGCAAGTTCGCTTCATTGAGAAAAAGCCTCGCGAGGCCTCGGCCGGCCTCGCAAATATGACTACAAGTCGCATATTGTACGACAAGTTGCGTTTTTTTTTAAATTTTTGTTCACGCATTTTTGAGAGTTTTCTCGATTTTTCGATATTTAGAGCATTTAAAAAAGGAGGAAGTCAAGAAATCTTTTATTCAACACTGAGATAACAGGGGAGAGAAAATGACAACAAATTCAAGAAAATTAACAAACAAAGCTTGTGTTCATGCATCAAAATCTTCAAGTCACGCCTGTGTCGAATCGATCTTTTTCTTTGAGAATCATCAAATTTTCCAGCATTTTTAAGTCCAGGCTCTGACGATTTGGTGTGTACAAGTTTTTTATGATTGAAAAAGATTTTTCTACATCTGCTTCCGAAGCTTGAATCGCATGAACTTTTCGGGCGATTTCGTGCAAAATTGGATAGGAGCTAATTTCAACTAGCATAAAAACCGCCGAATCCTTCCCTTTTGTTCTTTATCACTAATTCACAATCGGTTTTGTTGGGATCAATGAACCATTGAGGCATCTGAATTGTGTCTGAAATTGAATAACGGTTATAACAAATGAATAAATCGGCTTAAACCGACCATTACTGGCGTTCGAAATGTTCATGTCGCCAGAGATCGATGGAAAAATCGAGAAAACTCTCGAAAAATGCGTGATTTGCTGAAAAAGAGCGAGAAAAAACAAAAAATTAAAAAAAAAAACGCAACTTGTCGTAAAATATGCGACTTGCTGACCGTAGTCACATTTGCGAGGCCGGCCTCGGCCGGCCGAGGCCTCGCGAGGCTTTTCCTCAATGGAGCGCGCCGAGGCCTTTTTTCTTCGGCCGAGGCTTTTTCGAGGCCGGCCGAGGTCCGGCCGCCGTTTTGGACAGCCCTGCAATAATTACAAAGTGTAAATTATAAAAATTTTCAATTTTTCATGCAATTTCAAAAAAAGTGAAAGTGAGACATATTTTTTGAACAAATGAAAAAAAAACAATTTTTAGCGAATTTTTTCCCATTTTCTTCTGTTTTTGATTGCATATCAAATTTAAATGGAAACTGCCATAAGTCTTTTTCAAAACCAAAACATTGAGTTTCGAAAAATCAGTAATATGTCGTTCAAAATATAAAAAAATATGGAATAATAAAGGATAAGTACGAAATCGGAAGACCTGAACAAAATCACATCACAATAGAACTTAACTGATACTTTTAGGAACCCCCAACCAACGTTTTAGTTCATTTCATCGAGTGCCAGCAAGCCAGGCGAGGAGATGCTTTGCGGCGGCGGTGTGCCCCATATGCCCCGTATATGCCCCATACCGGCGTCCTTTCCCTGTACCCAATTCATCGGCGCGTCCTCCGTCGCCCATCCATTATGCGTATGCGCGCCTAGGACCTGTGGAGCAACTGTGTGCGTGCGCAGTTGTTGTGCGAGAGTTCGCGGTTCAGTTTTGGCTGCGGCCAAACACTTATTTAAAAATCTAAAAGTCGACGGACGGGCTCCCGGACATTTCGCAGCCAGACATTTCGCATCCGAGCATTTCGCAGCCGGACATTTCGCAGCCAGACATTTCGCAGCCGGACATTTCGCAGCCTCCGATAACGTCAGAAAATCAGAATTCCAAATTTTTCGGTTTTGAAAAAAGTATATTTTAATGTCAGAAATTGAATTTTCGAAGAATTCGGCTGCAAAAAAAAATCAAATTTCAGCTGAAAAAATAGCAAGCAAGTATTCAATCAATGGAAAACTGCTAAATCTTCACTGTTAT